TATATAAATCGGCATAATTCTAGTGCGACTGGTTTTTGCGATTATCGGTACGCCATTTTCCATATTGAAGATCAGCAGTTCGTTCACGAATGCATAAGTAATAAAAGTATCAATATGACTATAAACATTAATATTGATATAACTTAGAAGAATGTAAGGCTTGTTGAAGAATGTAACCCTCGCAATTGACCTAACCGCACGTGTAAAGTATGGCGTAACTGATACGCAAATAGTTGAAACTAGACAATATATCATTACAATTCGCATCGAATTACCAGGACTGAATAATGTATTTGTATGTGTGTGTGTGTGTGTGTGGGTGTCAGATTTAAAATTAGTAAATTTTTTCTAGCTAAAATTCTTTTTGGTAGTAATTTAAACATATCGTCTTATTTGCTTCTTATTTCTATAAAAATTGTAAACAGATTATATCTATTTCTTTCTTTTCCTCTTCTCTCTCTCTTTTTTTTTCTCAAAGAGTTTCTTTTATGAAAAAAATAAACATGTAAGATGCAGAGATGTCTGATGCAAAAACAAATAATTCAAACAATCAAGAGATAAGCATATTTGAGCTAAATATTTATTAAGTCGAAAAGAAAAAAATGAGTTATTCATCGAGTAATTAGACAAAGTAATACCTTTTTCTAATAATAAAAGAATTATATATTATATCTTATATTATTATATCTCATATTTGATATATATTGATAAAAAACACAATATTGCGTAAGAAACAATTTTAGCATATAATGTGCGTACAATAATGTAAGTTATAAGAGAAGAACAACCCAGTTCTAGAAAACCTTGTTTTGTTTGCGCACGCAATTTGCGTATAAAGCGAGTATAACCTACTATTATTATCATGAGTAATAATAGTAATACAGCTGCAGCTGTTCTCTCGTCGATGTACGGAAACACGTCTGAAATGAAAATGTCGCAATGCAATTCTCATAAATTATATGTGGAAATCATATTAATCGAATCTACTCTATAAAAAGTTGCTTATGTATCAATTAAAATGTCACGTATGTGTAAAGATCACATGCAAAATAGATGATCAATAAATTCTCGAAATTTTTGAATCATATCCATCCATGATTTCCGTTAAACGCATGATTGATAACAACTGTCATTTTGATGTGAAATTTTAGTATATTTTGACTGACGTGTCGACATAGAAAGGCAAGTAATTAATTACATAGAATGACAGCAAGTGTGAGTGAGATTGTGGAGGATGAATCAGATTTTAAATAAAATTCTCTCATATATATCCTTTAATTAATACTTCTCTGATTGTCTGAAAAAAACATACTTTTATATAAAATTATTCTATTTTTTTTGAGATGCAAATCATTTTTTGTTTTGTCTCGTCTACTTCAATTTAACAAATTCTATCAACTACTATAATTATTATTTTATTAAATGAAATTGGATAAAATATCCACATAATTATCACATTAGCTTTAATATATAAATGTACATGATGTACACATATATTATGCATTAACTTTTAACAATTTTCTAATATTGATGAAAATTATTAAATAATATTTAAAAAAATTTGCACTTAAAGATATTAAATAAAAATATTAAATATAACACGTTATATCTTTTCATAATAAAAATCAAGATGTTAAAAGCATATGATATATATACTATAATGTATCATGAGACAGTGCGTCTGAAGATCTTCAGTTAGACTAGGGATTCACGTGAGTATGTAAGTGTCTATACGTATATTCACATATGCATGTGAACACATACATAACTATCGTTGTATTTGTGCTGCACAGACCGATTTATTGATCACACGCGTCGCACGCAACACGACGAATGCGTGCCTGTTATGTCTCGCAACCATATCCGACTAAAATTCTATTTTATGATTTCATTGACTATAATGTTATCTCAGTTTCCGTGCGAGAGCAAAAGAAAAAATTAATTAAAAATTAATATTATTGCAAACAATAAAACATTCAACCCCTTGCGAACAGGACTGTCTGAGTTTGAATGTGTTTGAGCTTTTGTCTACAGACACGCGTGCAAAGGATTAATAAATAAACGAAAATTAATTGTACATAAAAAAATTATACATAAAAAAATTAATTATACATAAAAGCTTTGATCATAAATAATAAAAATCGCTTTAACCATCTGTATCACCACGTGGCTTATTGGAGTACTTCAATTATAGAAGCAATTATTGAAGTATCTCAAAACTAAAGCTCGTATTGATTGGCACGAAACATATTCTTTTTCTTTTGTTAATTATTGAATTATTAGAAATTTTAGTTTATCAGAAAAGAAATAATAAAATGAATAAGCAACATTTCATATTTGATTCTTTCTTGAAACTTTGTATGACTAATTTTTTATTTATATTTTTTCGATACTGGGCGGCAATTACTAATAAAAATGAAGATTATAAACCCATAGATTTTTTTAAAGTAAAATATACAGTACATGGCGTTTTCAAATGTTGATTTTACGATTTAATCACTCTGGGATACGTAAACATCTTATTCATTGACGAATGGCAACCATTTTTCTAAAAAAATGTAATGTATTCTTTACAGAAATTGCTGTGATTGGTCAACAGCATTTGTACCTTAGAGAACGCCTACCATTTGTCAATAGATTTCCCAAAACTAAATTTTTAAGAATTGTTTTCAATTCTTCTAGCTCTATAAAAGAAACAGTAGGTACACTAAAAAAATTTGGACTTAGAGTTAAAAACATATCTCTGTGACTGTCAATAATGCTGGTGGAATTTCTTCATGGTTATTTACAGAAAAGATGGTAACCGTTCTAAAAGATTATTCAATATCGGCATCCTTTATGGTTCTACATACATATGCGACTGAAATGGTCATAAATCCACCTGAGAATATATTAAATTTAATATATTTAATAAATATTTTGAGCAATATGCACTGATAATATTTAATATATTATTAGAATATAATATTTTTCCTCTGTAAATTTTATATAACATATATACTTTGTTTATTTCACATTTAACTGTTATCATTATTTATTTTCATAATAATTAATATCTCATTCCAATGAAATACTATCTATAAGAATAATATACAAATAATATATAAATTTGATATACATATATATATATATATATATACACATATATACATATATATGTATATTTTAACAAATACTTTTCAAATAAAAAGTTATAGATAAAAAAGTTTTTAAATTACTTTTATTACTTCTAAACAAAATAAATTAAATTTTGATAAGCATAATCGCTATTGTAATCGTTGAAAGATAATGAAATGATTATCAATGTGAGAAGGCAATCATTTTAACAGTTGAATATTAAAAATAATCGGATAAAATTGTGAAAAAGAAAAATTGTAGGGAATTGCAATATTGTAATGTAAATAAACTTTAAATGTAAAAATCGTTCAATCGTATAAAACGGTGATAAAAAATGTAAAATTACAATGACAAAATGAGACAAAAGAATTTGCAGCCACTTCATACAGTACAATTTATCATGCCGATTATCAATACACAAATAAACATTATCAAAGTCACAATAATGTACTTATTTCTGCAAATATTTGAAATTAATGCGAATTAACGTGAACTATTTTTCGTTCTATCAATTATTCGGTAATATTTTCTCAGAATCTCTTCTAAGAAATGATTAGATTATTTGTGTTTTTTATGTTTTAACGCATTAAAAATAATTATAAATTTTAATAATGTTTTCTTGTAATCGATTAATAAAATAGTATACAGATATCAGACAAAATATCTTGCGAAATGGAAAAATATTTTTGTTGTTGTGCTCCTTACAAGCATTTCATAAAAGAACCGATGGCTATTGGTTTTCTAATATTAAATAATGTGTCCTTAACAATTATTTTGAATATTAAGAAATAGGATAAACACAAAATGCCATATGTTTTATAATTTTCGCATTTACCTAATTGTGCTGAAAACGCTCGTAAATATTTCATGGAAACGCTCATACACGTTTCATAAAAAAGAATGTACACAAAAATAAATTCCTGCAATGAGACTTCGTGTTAAATCGAGAAAAACTTGTGTACGTTCCACGTTAGCAGCTTCGACGAATTCCAATAGAAATATATTGCGAAAGAATATTTATTCTACAACGAAATCGTATATATAATTCCATAACATAATAAATCTATTTGTCTGATATCGGGCATAATATTCGATACAAATAAGATGTATCGTGATACGTGAACGTCGACTCTACAAGTTGAATTTCACTTAAAATTATGACGCGACATATGAATGAGATATTTCTAGTTTATTTAATATTTCAAAAAAAAATTCGCTAGATAAATGAAAACTGTTGTAAGGAATCGTATAATTTTGCACGTATATCAAAGTCACGTCAAACACGTAAGCTCTACTATAAAAGCGCGCACATCATGCAATGAACAGAACGGCACAATTAATAGCGTGGGCCGTGGTCGATCGCACAATTAACTTTAACGAACGAGCGGCCTTGTGATTAAACTTAATTAGTATTGCAGTAATAACTCGTTAATAATTAGAACTGTGTATAAGAGCGTAGCTTTTTAACGCTCATCATTTTCTCCAAATAATCTTTTATAAACACGTATGTGCACATGTCCATGTGTGTGTATGTGTGCGTGTGTGTATGTGTGGATGTGTGTATGTATACATGTACGTGTTTATATGTGTGAATCATTGCATTTTTATAAATTTGTATGGGTAGACTTTATATTTTACAACGATTAGTGAGGAAAAAGAGCATGACGCTATACGATTTCGATGTTGAAGAATGATTGGAAAAAGATTTTCACACCGAATCAAGAAGCATCCATCAAAGCGCGCATTCAACACTAATCAAAAACGATTAGAGATGAATAAAAAAAAGTTAATAAAAGGATATGACAAATGCCTTCACTCGACTGATGTTTACTCGCACGTTTTCCTTCGATTCGCCGCAAAAATTAATATATAACGATAGTTACCTACACTGTTTGCGTCTTCCCTTGTAATTCCACTTAGGAAACGAAAATAAAAAGAGAGATTCCTCGGCTTAGAGTTCGAATGATGTGTGAAAACCGGCTGACGAGGTCCCGGTGGCTCGTGCGTGATTAAGAACTGACACCAACTGAACGATTGGCCGAATGGCAAAGCGTCGCGAAGCTACTGATAAAGCACTGCGTTCCTCTTCATTTTCTTGCTTATTAACGCTTATTTTCGCTCGACACTGTAAAGCTCCCCTTTCTCTCTTTCTCCCTTTCTCTCGCGCGCGCGACGACATACGTCGCGTGTCGCCTCAGAGGCGCGACGTACGAATCGCGAAACCACGCGCGACGCGCTAGGTGCAAAAGATCAATGAATTGTTTCAAAACGCGCGCATCGCCCCGCTCTCGCGAAGCGAAAGTTTACGGAAGACCAACCGGAGGCGAGTACGTAAATAAATAAAACGCGCACACACTATTGTCTCTCTCTCCTCCGGCTGATGTCGAACACCGCGAACTAGGAACGAAACTGATTTAACCAAGGGGCGGTCCGGCGAATTATTGGTACGCTTTTGGCAGCAATCCCCTCTCCTGTTTGCAGATGCCTCTATACGAGCGCTCTCTCTAGTTTATTGTGGCTGTATCCCACATCGAATATTTCACTACCTATTCACTAACCGGGTACACACACCACTCTACGTCGGGTCATGCCGGTACGGAGGCCTTTATAGTTCTCCTACCATCTACTGTCGCGTCCCCTCCAAGTATGCGCGTATTCCATACTCTACTGAATCTGGAGAAAGAGAGGGAGAGGGTACATAACGAGGGAGAGGGTATAAAGAGGGAGAGGGTGAAGAAGAGGGAGGAGAAAAGGGGGAGGAAGAGGAAAAAAGAGAAAGAGAGAGAGAGAATGTCAATAAAGACGCAAAGGAGAAAGAGAGAGATATGTAACATTGCCACCTTACATAGCCGCGAGAATGATGACTGATACGACATACTGAAACGACGCGCGAGAGCATACTTTAAATACATCTTCCGGTATGGGGTTTTAGCGCGAGAATGATTTTCGGAGCAAAGGTATGCGCGGAAGTCGGCAATGTTGGCAGTTTGTTGAGATACATACTGTTTTTACTTGTCTGACGTCTCGCATATTTTCCTCCCACATGTCTTTAATCCTATTAATCCTAACATCAATTTCGAAGTGTAAAATTACAATCGCAATATATTCGATAAATGAGAAAATATTATTTATTAGAAACGATATATGTTGATATATGATTTCAATTATAAAAATCAACCGGAAAACGTTTTGAACAAAAATTACACAGATATATTATTTAATTGAGATGTTTTTATTCCACGAAAAAAAAAAATAGATTGAGTTGATAAAACATAAAAAGTGCTAGTATAAGTTTTCTGTAATATTTTCTTTCTATAGACGTAATTAAATTAATTCATAGTGACTAGATTTTCGGCGATTAAAATCTTCATCAGGAAGATCTTAAATATTATAACATTATCTTTGAGATGGTGAAAATACGTAGCTTCTAAAAACGGTTTTAGTGTCACAGTTTCGGAATAGAAAGTAATCGATAGCAATAAAACGAGAATATTCCCTCACAATTAGCAATCGCGTTCTTAAAGCAGATTTAAATTCTGCAGCCGCAAATGTATTATTCATCATAATTTTATTTTTCCATAAATGCGCTTTGCAGTTTATTACAGTCGATAATAAAATTTCTAATAATGTTTCAAAAATAAAGAGATTAAGAAATAGCATTAATAAATATTTAAAAGATGGTATTGCGCAGACAATTTTACTTCAGGCAATATATAGTTAAAGATTTGTAAATCGAATTGAATATAATAATGCTTAATTATTCTTGAATGCTTTTCTAATGTATATAAAATGTCAATTGAAATAATTCTAAAAATAAATTGGAGAGTTATTAGTCATATACATATATGTATGTATGACTAATAACTCTCTAACGGGCAAATATTTTTTCTGTTTCTCTGGTATATTTTGATAAATATAAAGTATGTAATATATATTATTATAATTTCTCTGTTGAATCGACAGTTAAATGATTTTTTCTTAATCTTGGAAATATAAATAAATAGAAAAGAAAAGAGCATATGAAAAAGAAACAATTTAACTTCAAGTTGAACATACTAAGCAACATTTAAACAAAGGAGTTTAAAAATTATTTCCAATAATAAAAAAGAAATTTGAGTAAGCAAATTGAAATAAAATTAATTTAAAGAAGAATGCTATATAATAATTAAGTATAATAGTTTTTTTAAAATCTAAATATGCATTTTAATACAATTCTTAGAAATCTTTAACATTACATATATGCCATTCACATATGAGGAAGAAAAAATCTAAAATTAACAGATTGCTTTGTTTCAATAAATCAATAAAATAAAGATAGAAAAATATAATTGTATTTATAATTCATAAAATTATTACATACTTAAAAATAGATATTTTTAAAAAAATATCACATAATTCTCTTTTTATCCACGATTCTAAGTTTTATTTTAGCACGTCTTCTTTATATAGGAACGGTTTATAAAAAAAAGCAGGTAGATTTTTCTTGCCTTCACCAATTACAAGAAGGTTGCTAATGCATAAGTTACTTTTATAAACTCGTCTTCAAACTGTTAAATAATTGGTTACCGACAGCATTTTCTACCTGTACCAGATCTTCCTCAATTTAGGTACAAATACCGATCTTCTCCTTGATCCGTCTTCTTGTAGTTACATCGTAACTCTCCATTCACATAGAATTCTTCGGAATTACTTCTAACCCTGTACTGTGACTAGTCAAGATAGGAAACCATCGATATAGCTTATATATCGAAACGCAAAGAATAAAAATATATAGTTAAAGATTTGTAAATCGAATTATAGAAAGAATATCTTCATTTAAAAAAAAGTCTGTTATCAAATATTTTACAATATACATTCTACATGTAGCCGCCAGCATGCAGCACTACGCAACGCGCTAAGTTACAATTCTCGCTGCTACCCTTAACTTAGTGTCGTGAATCGATAATCCGCACTGAAGACACACCCGGGCGCAATTCACGACAACGTGCTTACCAGAAGGTGGTGAATCGACTCTATTCTCAGATATTGTCGTTATTGTTGAAGGTCGGTAAGCTTGCAATAGAAAAAGTCGCACGACGAAGGTGGTGCGTTTACGCGGAAAAGCACTGTACTTACATTTCATTTTCGCCAAATACTTCTTTCATTTCACTTGCTTTTCCCTCCGATAGATGTCAGTGTTCGCAAACGTTGCACAACAATAGGGTTGTAAAATCGAAACTGCATCAATGGAATGATTCGCAGGCTCTTTATCTTCTTCTTGATCTACATACATCATATAAAATTAATTAATCTTGATAGGAAAATTACTGAATTGCTTATGCAAATGCATTTAGAATTATATTTATCCTTTATTTTTATCTTTCTTGTCTCTTTTCATTTAAATTATATATTTATACATGTAACATTTCTTCATTGTTTACATAGATCTGCAATGTGCTATATCTAGAGTTAGTTGTAACTGTAACATCTTTTAACATCTTAGAATTATTCTTTCTAATTATTATGTTTTAATAATGATCTTATAAATATAAATAGTGTTTGATAGTGTAAAGTAAATAATAGCGCGTAATAATTATTAATATTGCATTAATAATTATAAATTTTTTATATAAACAAGATTTAGTCAGAAATTTGGGATTTTATTTGTCGTATTATTTTATAGTTTCATGAAAATACTTGTCAAATATCTCGATAAAGACGATATTTATAATGAGTGTTTTTTTTTTTTAAATAGCATAATATAATATATTTTAATATAATCATGTTGATAATATTGTTTCAAAATCATCAGTAAACATTCCGATGTGTATTTGGATAATGTATGTGATAAATAAAAGCAATTAAAAGCAATTAATTCAAAAATTATATCTTATAGCTTTAAAAAAAACATGACTACATTTAAAATCTAATAATACTTGTAAGATATCAGCAAATATAAAAATTTTCTATTAATTGTATTTTAATGTAAATTTTGAAATTATGGATTTATTTATATATTCTAACACACACACACATTTACTTTAATATTCTTTCTCTTTTAACAAATATAATAAATATAATAGAAATATTAATAGAAATATTAAATTTATATTAAATGTAATTTATCTCTGTTATTTGTTTTTTGAAATACTCAGTATGCTGTTTATAAAGGGCTGTGAGAGAGATGATAATGTCGCATAAGCTTTAGAATAAAAGGAGCAAAGAAATCTTGCATTGACAGGTAACATGATAATTTCAAGCGAAACCATGTTTTCAATACCCATTTTCTAAACAGAACTATGCGAGCAATAATAATAACATCATTGTTTAATTAAAGATCAATTATATAATTTCTTTTCTAATTTTATTTCTAATAATTGCTGCATTTAGTTATAAATAAGAGTCAATATTTATAAAGTCACTCTTAAACTTAATGTTCACGTTATCGCTCAATTAAGTTTATTAATATTATTTTGATTTTTTTATTCAAAACGCAATTAAAGAATAAATGGATTAATAAAAAATCATCCTGTCATCATAATAGCATTAGTTGATACTACGATAAATCGAATTTCATATGTGAATAATCAAGTATCGGAGTATCGACAGGTATACACGACAATACGTGGATATTTTAAGAATGAAAGAGCTTTAACTGTCTATACAACGCCAATCATACAATGAACAGTAGCATTATTATTCCAGATGTCTTTAAATGTGCAAATTACGAATAAATTCTAATATTTTTATCGATAATTACATTTATGAAAGAGGTTTTAAAGAGTCATTTCAGTAAAACACCGGCAAATAAAATTTCATGCAATGTCATAATTAAATGACTCATCATCAAGCGATAGAGACGAGATTTAATATACGTATATGTGTGTATATATATATGAATGATCACGATAAAATACTTTATAACCTAAACGCATCGTATCATATTTTTATAAAAATTTATCAAGCAGAAGGATTGAAGAGCGCAATTATTGCACAATTATTGCACAATTACTCGACAATGTTTACAACCGAAAATCACCTGTGTGCAAGCTCTAAGTCCCAAAACTGTCATCTTTCGGAATTTCAGCCACGTGTCCCGCGTCTGCCACCGATTATCCATCGTCGCGGCGCGAAGTCTCGGCTGCGCCAGCGCAAGCGATCGATATTCCAAACCGCCGGGGTTTTCATCTATGCGCGTGACGTCATATTGCGCGAACCGAGCCAAGACGACAGGGGCCGTAACCTGCCGAGGGTGGCCGAGACGGTGTGAGTCGGGTGGTGTGAGCGAGCGAGTCGTCGCGAGAACGGCTCGAGTATTGCCGTCGTTTTAACGTAGTGCGTACACTACATCGCGAAAGTTGCACGCGAAATTTTTCTCGCGTCGCTCGCCCTAGTCGCGTCCGCGAATCCTCCGATTCCTCGTGAGTAGTTCGTTCAAGTTCCGATCGCGACGCAACGATATCCGCGCGCGAAAGTGACAGCTCCGAAAGTGGTGTGCTTCGGTCCCTGGAGAACGTCGGTGGACACGACGCTCGGAGGAGAATCTTGTAAGTTTTTCGCGAATTAACGCTCGAGACGATTCGTTTCGTCGACAAGTGATTTTTCACCGATGCGGATATACCTACGAAGGTCGCGACGACCTTCGTGACGAGCGACCGGTCCAGATTTCGCGGAGGAGCGAGCGCGACCGGCCGAGATGTTCTGTCGTATATCTGTCGCGATACACCGCGTTCGTTCCCCTGATCCCAAGCTCGCCGGCGCTTCCCACTTGACGCTTTCCGCGCGCGTACGCTTTTCGCCGGTGCACGCAGCGGAGAGCGAACGAAGGAGAGCGCGTTCGCCGGCGCTCTCGTCTGATCACAGGCGAGCTGCAACCCCTTCGGGTTGCGGCGCAGCTGAGCTCGACCGGGCGCGACCCACAGCCCTACATTCGCGGTCTGCGGCGTGACCTAACTTCAACTCACCCCACCTTAGACGAGCTTCGTCACCACCCTCTCTTCCCGAGAACTGTCACAGAATCTTACGCATTAAATTCTCCTCTCGTTAACCACGCACGTTTGCAATCAATAGTACGTTATGCACGATCTATTTTTTATCTTATTTTTGTTTGTTTTATACTTCGAGAAAAATATCGATAAATTTTTATTATTCAGAAAAGACTGCCTTCTCTCTCTCTCTCTCTCTCTCTCTCTCTCTCTCTTTCTCTTTCTCTCTCTCTCTTGGATATGCCACTTGCAATATCTTTTATTAACAGCTTGTGCGTTGAAAATTTTATTTTATATCTTTAAATTTTTCTCGCAGAAATTATTTAATTAAATAGAAAGAGACGATGTGGGAATAAACATATTCGTATTTTTTTTTACTTTTTCTACAGTTTCAAACATGCAAATTAAATGAGAAATATTAGTTAGATTAGATTGTTAACGAGATATAAATTTAATTAATTATGTAACTGACCTTGATGAGAAATCAATCATTCACATAACAACAGTCTAGGGACAACGCCTTCTGATGATAGCGCTTTTAATTAACAACGATTTAACGGCCGCAAATCGACCTCGTTATCATCGTAACGATCGTTACGATGATAATACGGTATTGCAGAATACAAGGACTTTATGAGAACGTCTACTTTAATATTCATCCGAGACACTGTGGCTGCTCTGAAAGATGCACTTCCGCGCGATAGAGAGAGAGAGAGAGAGAGAGAGAGAGAGAGAGAGAGAGAGAGAGAGAGAGAGATGCACTTTCGGATTAACAGCTCCAAAGCCATTTTCTCGATCGGTAGCTGTAGTTTTTTTCGACTTTTAGAGACTCTCATAAAATGTGTTAGCATTTTATGTTGATCGAATATGACAATATTAAAATATATCGATATTCAATGATATAAAATATAAGACTCATAGAAAATAATAAGTTTATAATTCTTGTTAAATTTCGTTTAATATTAAATTTTATATTTAATTGAATTATATTTAATTTTATATTTATTTAATTGTCAAGAATAGCGATAACGTACATTTATTGTAAATATGAATTTCGCTCGAATAAACTCACAGTATTACGAATAATATTTACGTTTTTGAAATTCTTACCATAAAGGTCGAATCGCGAGATCAATAGAGTCTCGCAAATAAAAACAAATCCTAGGAAGAAAAAGGAATAGTTCTAAAAAGCAAACTTCAAAGAATATCAGGTAAATAATGTGCGATACGACGAAGAAAGCACATAAAACGTTAAATTCTTCTCGATTCGACAAAATTGAGTTATCTTTCATGTAAACAACAAAATTGAATTCACGATAAGCGAACAGGACGAGGACAATATCATAAAATAGGGCAGCTTTTTTAATACGTGTAAATAATAGCGGAGACAGATCATTGCGATATATTAAATTACTAATTAAATTATTAATTAATTACTAATTAAATTACTAAAGAACGGCAATAAATTCGACACACGTGTCACTAATCGTATACAATCGAGGAAATACTTTATCATGTATGTTGAAATATTATGTAGTAATTTTATTTAAATAATCGATTAACTTGTAGCTAAATTAATGGAATAATTTTAATTTTCTGCTTGTTTAAACACAACAATGATGAAATAAAAATAATTTCTTTAATTAAAGTTGATTAAAAAATTGTGGAAAGAGTAATAAATAATTTCCATTATAATTTATTATAATTTAAATATGCAGAAACGCAAGAAATATAAAATATAACATTATACGCAAGTCAAATAGAAATAGAAGATTATTTACATTTAATGCTATCGCAATGATTTGTGCTACTATTGTATTGAGACTATTAAAATAAACTTTACTTGAAATCTGAATTCAACGTATCTATTTTCGTCTATAATAATTTTTAAATAAATAACAAATGCATAATTTTTTATTTATTAATTGAAATGCATTAAAAAGTTAGAATTGAATTTTAATTAAAAATAAATGACGGATTTTTATAATTTATATATTTATGTAATTTTATGTTCAAAAAAATTCCATTAAATATTCTTAATTATTCTATCCGTTAAATATTCTTTATGTTTTAAACATAGTGTTAAACATATTTTATCTTATCTTATACAACTTTATAAATAATTATCGATTGATATGTGCAGTTAAAGGAAGTAGTGGTCAATAATGTCAATATATATTTTGCTGTTATCAGCAATATATAGATGCAATTTACCATTATGAAATAATGAAAGAAGATCATAAAATAATGAAAATATCAACATAATTGCATCTTTATATTTAAAATTTGCAAAGTATCGCGTTTGTAAATAATAATATTTTTCAAACTGTGTAATTTCTTAAAAATGTGCGTAAATACCATATAATGTACCATAAGAATTTATTATAAAAAAAATGATTTCCATACTTTCTATTCAAACGAAATATGTTTTACAATTAACAACAATTATCCCGCATCGCTATGCAGCAATGACATGAACAGATGTAAAGGGAGCATACATTCAAAGAGATGTCGTGTTCAGTCTTAATCGAATTTCTGTTTCTCTTGTCAGTTCGCAGATAACCGTGTCAACCTCACCGCACGTCTCACTTTCCCAAAGTTAGCGCACCATCCTCGCCATCAACAATACGTAAAGTCAACGGCATTCCTCGTTGCACTTGCAACAGTAACGGTGGAGATACGCGGATCTCTCAAAACGAGAATCGCAAGTGGTCCAAGGAGGAACTCGAAGTCGGAAACGAGCGGTGGACGCGGAAGAGTCGGGTTGTGAGAGTTCCGGGAGGGATAGCCTTTGATTGTGATGTGGTGGAGCCCCCCGGGGGGCCACGGGGGCAGGAGGTCAGAGGAAGATCGGTTGTGAGGGCAACAAGCACGGCTCGGTTGCCTCGAAGCGAGATCGCCGGTCGGGCGGAGGAGGAGGTAGGTGGAGGATGGAGGTGTGACCTCCGGCGTCATCCCGCCCAACGCGGAGGTGGTGCTGGAGGTGACGGAGGTGACGGTGGAGTCGAGCAGCTGCTGCCCGACTCGGAGGAAGAGGAGTCGACGGCGATGTCGAGGCAGCTTCGAGGTGAACGGGACCACGTGAGCCGCGACTACCAAGAGGGCTACCTCGGTGACTTTCGGGACTTGCGCGACCTCAGGGATTTCAGGGACTTCCATCGAGATCCCCTCGGAGACATCAGGGACGACCGGGACAGTCAGGGACTCCGAGAAGGACCCGGCAGGACTTATCGGGACGACTATCCGGAAGAATACGATCATCGTCCTACCGTTGCATCTACCTCGGCGAATCTCACCAACAATCCGGTAAGTAACTTTTTTCTACGTAAAATGTCACACGTAAGATTATTCTTTCTAATGTTTAGTATCACAAAAATCATGCTTCGACTTTTATTGTAAAAAAGAATAATAATATTGTATTCTTTTAAAAAAATTTTTAACCGACACATTTGCATATGCAATATTTGACAAGAATTTTCAATCGCTATCGCGCAAAAGTGTTATCTGAATCATCAGGAAACAATCTTGATTAATAACGATAGAACATCTTTGTCAAATATATATATATCAAATTGTAAGTGTATCGTTTACATAATTTTTTAAAATAATATTTTTAAATGCTAGAGTCAAAACTCTCTGATATTAATATTTATGCTTTTAAATTTGACATTATTTTTTAATTAAACATTAAAAGTATCATTTTATAGTAATAATCTCTGCGCAAAATGTATACAATACATAATAAGCTCAGAGTAATTATGACTTTAACACATATTTTATTTATTGTCTTACCGGCCAAACAGAACATTGCATAATGTGATAACGTCCGTCTCTCTAAGGCTCCTTCTCGCCGGTATTGTTTCTTGTAACTGCATCGTTGTGCAAGGAAAATGCGGTCGTTTCTATTAAAAACTTGCTCCCATGAGTCCACTTAAAACTTGAATAGTTATTTGTATAGCGTTAGCCTCCCCTTTGCTATGAACGAGAAATAGTTGCAAACTTAGCTATCAGCAGGAGTTTGAAATCCCATCGAAATTTATATCATAGGCAATTTCTGCTTTGCATATTAGTTCTTCAACGCGATAATGTACTTGCACGTACATTCTTTCTTTAACGTGAACCAGACCTTTATATAAGAATTCAGAAATATATATACGCGAATAATATTAATATATTAATAGAAAATGTAATTAAATATTAATAGAAAATTGTTCACATTTTATTTAAAACATTGTAATTATTTACGCATATTTTTTATCACAATGTGTCATGCAAGAAAGTGTGCCATATTTGCATTTGATGCGCCAACTCGAGTCACAAGATTGATTTTCTGGAGCGGCAGCTTCATTGATTGAAAAAAACCTCGTTAGAGTGGTAATGCATGCAAAACATAACATTTCTCTGTCTGCGAATATACTATTAGAATGTGATTTCTCGATATTCTCATTGACGGATCGTTGTAGTAGTCTCTTTATAATATTGCGTGCACATTGTATTGCACAATATTGCGCTTCGCCCGGAGAGAGAGAGGTCATCAGTATATCTATACTAGAATTCTATATCTTGTTACATGGAGATTTCACCTCAGCCATATATTCCCCGTGCTTCTTATCGAACAATAAATTTGAATTAACTTAACTGTTGATTAATATCATCGTTACGATCTGCAATAATTATTTATTGCGGACTAGGCGATACCGCTATCACGTGCGCGTACATATTAATTCTGGAATTCCATATAATCGTTCTATAACTCGTTTCATCGCAAAGAAACACGTGCTCATTGATATTACTATCGTAAGCTTTTATGTGCTCAATCATGATTGCTTTACGTACGGACAATCAAAACGGACTCGCTCGGGCCCTGTAAGTTAATTTTATTTTTTTACGTAAACAAACTTTTGTGTTTTATTATATTTAATAAATCAAATATGCTACATATTTTCTATATAATATTTTTAAATTCTTGTAGGAATGCATGATAAACATAAAAAATAGAATTTTATTATAAATTTCATTTTAATTAAAGAAAGAGAAATTAAAACGACGATTAAAAAATGCTGGATACGAAGTGATTATATTAATATTCATTTGTTGTTTATTTATAACGTGAGATACTTTGTATTATGTGAAAAAAATTGCTATCAAAGTACTAACAATATATATAAAAAATTAATTAGTTATAAATAGAATCAAATAAATTATAAGCAAATATACATATGTTTAATTCGAGTTTAATTAATTGCAAGACTGGATAAATTTAACATAGGATACTTATTCTTTATAGCTGCTATTTGTCTATTTAAGTAGTTGATGGGTCTTACTTACAACGTAAACAATTTTATTTGTACGGAACTTGCTCATGCACGTAGTTTTTCTTAAGCTCGAAAGTAGGTCAAATGTATCACAGGACGAAATGATACGGCCAGGCTGTCTTTGAGAATGAAGGATCGACTTGTTTGATCATAGTGCTCACTTTAGACTCTCTTTGGCATCCGCGGTAACCGGTATCAGCGCTCTTCATTTAGCGTTCTTATAGATATATTCTTTAGGAGGATGGGATGTGTTCTCGCTACCGCGTTTGTCATGTCTTCTCATTTGTAGCTGCATTCATCGTCGTTCTTTCCCGCTGTTCGCTTCTCGAGAGTCAGACTCGCTAATGAGAGGGACGAGGACCCATGATGACGGAGATGACAAGGTGGAAAATGGAATCTGCCCTCTCGGACGACGCTTTTTTAGCGAGCGAATATGATTCACGATATGCAAAACTGGGTCAATTCTCTACCCGATAACGCGATTCCAATATATTAATTTGCTCGAATATAATAGAAGCTAATTATTATTCGTTTAATTTTTATAAATTTTTATCAAAATTCCAATATGATCAATAATTCGTTCAATTTTATTACCTCATATTATATAAACAATTATAAATATATCATAATTATACAACTTCACTTTTATATTATGCATTTAAGAGATGCTGTCATATTTATCGCGAGTCCAAATGTTCAGAGTGTCTTTGTTTGAGCAACCGTACCTCATGGCGAGATTAATTAATTTCTTCGTGGCTCGTGAAACGAGTTTTCTCGTTGAATCTGATGTTCGCAATTACGCTGATATACGCATATCTTCGTATTATATATAATCGTACTATTGCATGGCCGTTCGCTTGAATCGTTCGACTATGGTGAGCAATTATTTCGCTATTTGATTTGTCCTAGTCAAAAATTGTAGGAAGATTTGACTTGTAGCTCAGTCTTTTTATATATGTAATATTGCTACATTTTTCTACATAGATAGAATTGAAATAAATTTTGTGCTAAGAATTTTATTTTTTTTAAATATTTAATTAATAAATCATGTTCTTTGATTCTTTTAAAGATGTGTGATGCTACATTTCAGATGTTCCGGAGATGATACTATTTGAAACTTACACGTTCATAATCAAAATATTCACACTGCTCACATGTATTCATTAATAATGTCTCGTTTAGAAAATTCTATTGATGCCGATATCAGATGGTCAGAGTCCAGTCGCTTCGATCGTCTTATTGAGTTGTTACGCTGCATCAGCTTGTCGAATTGCAGTAACGCCTTTCGCTCGTGACCATTCGCGAGAGTCGCGCGCCTCCTTTAATCGATATCGTTAGGTAACGGCACGGGCGTGTTCGCATCCATCACTGCGCGCATTTATCATTAAACCCCTCACTTACACTGATTCAAGAATCCCGCATGCTTCGTAATCGTATGTCTGTAATTATGCAAATGCCGGCACACGCATTACACTTGAAACATGTAACCACTGCATAATCGTGATAATCATGCGTGAACTTAAACAAGATCGCGGATGCGCGATAAACGATCGATCGTCATTGCTTACCAGCTGGATCAGCTGTCTTTTTGAATTACCGTGACTGGCAATTAATGCGCGAGATTCAATAAACACATTCGAAAGTGAAAATCGCACAGTCGGGAAAGAGAGTGAGGGCGGTGCGTAACATCAGAAAATCATACCGAATATGTAATTATACCTGCGCGTGCGCTCGATTGTCGGTGTCAAAGTTTCCGGTGTATCACGCGCGCGCACGCCGGTGTACATATGTGTACATGACAATGTGTTTATGCGACATATATACTGTACTGCAGCGAACGGAAATCGAATCTATGACCCTTCTACTAATGATACTGTCGTGCTCTAGAAACTTTATAAAGTTGGATATTTCATTACGTTAGATATTTTCAACTTTGTTGTATACAGACAACAATCAGAAATTTTTCATTATTTTTATGTATCGAGAAAAGAAAGTTTAGTAAGACACATATACTTTATATATGTTTGCATACATTACGAGATATTATATTGTGAAAGTATAAACTTGTAAATAAAATATAAACATTATAAAGTATTACAAAATAGCATTATACAAAATATAATAACATTATATTAAAATAGAACAATCTCAGAAATAATATAACTATAAAGTTTAAATTTTCAATTGTGTCAAAATTAATTGGCGATATATAGCACTTTGTCTTGCACTGTATTTGAGGGATATTTTCGTACAAATTTGCCTACAATTTGTTGCAACGATTATAATTAAATAAATATTTTTAGATAGATTTTTAGAAATGTTTTTCATTAGTTTTATGTATCGAGAAAAGAAAGTTTATTAAAACATATATACTTTATATATGTTTGCATACATTACGAGACATTATATCGTGAAATTATAAAAAATAAAATATAAACATTATATAAAAATTAAAATAGAACAATCTCAGAAATAATGTAACTGTAAAGTTTAAACTTTCAAACTGTGTTAAAATTAATTTGGCGATATACAGTACTGTATTTGAGGGATATTTTCGTGCAAATTTGCCTACAATTTGTTGCAACGATTATAATTAAATAAGTATTTTTTGCATAGATTTTTAACGAGTTATGTAATTCATAAGACTTACCTCGAATATAATAATGAAGTCCGCAGTGAAAAATTTCGATTGATGTAGGGTTGCGTTAACATTAACATCAAATTGGCGCAATGCGCGCACGTATAACTCGAAAGTAGAACGTTGTTACTGCTACCGCACGCAATTAATATCTTTCGATCTGCATGCTAAAAAGTGAGCTATTACTCCTATAATAGCTTCAATGAAACATGTACCAGCAGCGTGCCGAAGATTTTTAAGTATCGAGCTACCCACGCTCGTTTCTTTCTCTGGCGAGAATAATCCAATCGTCATATATACCTAAATTTATAAGATAATAATACCTTGATATTTCAACGTTCATTCTTTATACT